GGCGAATTGGTGCAGACTCGCCCTTGAGCCAGAAAACACGGCATTCAGTTTCAGTAAGGACATAGATGATTAATGGAGGATCAAATACTCATCTCAATGCTTTTTTGGCATGACCGACATGGAAGGAAAAGAGCATTGCTATCGAGGATCAAATATTAGCAATGTAAGCCGCAAATTCCAGGAAAAGAAAAAGAATTCAGTGACCCCCACAGAATATATACTAATTCTGAGAGATAGTGAATTCGAATTTCTACAACCTACCAAATTTAACTATTTAAGCATGAGGTCACAATCAAGAAATATGATGCTAGTCAACTAAAAAGATTAAATTCAGAATTGTGAGACTATAGTGCAAAAAAATAATAAGCAGTACATGACAACTGTCAAAGCAACATCCCAATAACTTGAAAGAAAATTGGATATGTTAAAATCATGTGCGGACACCAATAACTTGAAAGGTTAAATCATGAAACTGAACTATACATTCAGAATCCAAGACATGTAAATAAACTGCACTGGATAGTACAGACCTCTTAAAAGATGGGTGTTGATCTGCAGAGTATGTGTACATTCAGTACAAAGGCTCGTGGCTTTGTTTTGTCTGCATCTCTGTTAGCAAGTGCAGACCCAAGATCAAGTGTTACAGAAATAATCTCTCGTGTTATATCAGTGCCTTCTCTAATCAAAGCAATCACACCTGCAAGAACTTTAGCAGTCAGCATGTTTGTTTGTCGTTACACTGAATATACCGAAACAGTAGGCATAAAAATCAACTTTGAAAGGATAATTTACTCACTTCAGTAGCTATCATCCTTAATCACAAATGAAGTCCAACTGCTGCTACCCGGAAGATAGCTTTCCCATACATAAAGTACGAATGCGGACGAAGAAAGCTCCCGGTGCCAGATCTTGAGGTCCCTTACGCTAGGAAAGAGAAGAGCAGACAGTCGGCACAACGCCACCATATCCTTTTTCTGTCAAGATCTTTGAAGCTACGGGGCGGAGTGAGATCAAGGCCTGCAAAAGTTTTCAGGGTCAGATGGGATCAAGAAGGGAGACGATGGGGAGCACGGTTGGAGGTAGGAGATGGCCAGCATGTTGGGTATGCAGTCGGAGGAGATAACCTGTACCAGCATCGATGAGGCGAAGCGAAGGACGGAGGCGATGCCGGGATGCCCCGGCCTGATGCGCCTGGTGCGTCGTCCCTCCGGCAAAGGCCGCTTGGAGATGTGCGCTCTTGGGGCAGGAGGGAGCAGCAACGTCGCATGGGTAGGAGGGGCGAGCGGTCTCGCCTCGGCTGGCGGCGGCGCAAGCACGGCCGCGGCTGGCTCAGGGGACGCGGCGGCGCAGGCGCCGGGGCAGTGCAGACGTGGGCGCGGCCGAACGGGTGCCAGTGCAGGCTCTATCTCCTGGATATGACAGGACCGATGCCACGCTGTGAGGGGCAACAATCGGCGATGGCGATCATGCGCAGAGGCAACGGAGCGGTGCAGTGCGGCGAGGTCGTCATGCATGGAGGAGACGTTGTTGGTGGGCGGCGTCTGGCACGAGGTTGCCGCCGTGACAGACGGTGAGGTCAAGGTTCAGGGCGTAGAATTTCCTTGGTTTGCTATCGGACTTCCGTGATTGTAGGGACTGGTTGTTTTAGTACTATTCCCCTGGTGAAGCACGGTCAGTCAACAAAAAATGCTAAGTGCACACCATAAAAAGGTTAGATTAATTATGGCTGTTAGATTGAGAATTGTGGGCCTAATCATGTGGTGTTGATTGGTTTATATGATGTTGTGGGACTAATTGCGGGGTGCATCTAAGAAAGTTCTTATTTGATTGTTTAATAGTAGTGTAGATAATGGAAAAAAAATGTTACGGGAGTTTGAAAACACTCATATAAGATATCTTCCCTTCCCCTAAAGAAAAAGATATCTTAGATCCTCAAAAAAAAGATATCTTCCCTTGGTCACGTATCTTTTATTCAATTTTTCATCATCGCAATAATTGGAAGATAAGTGCATGTCAAAATAAATAAACAATTGGAAGATAAGTTGACATATCCCAAGGAGAAGACATTATTAAATTCCTAAATATTATCTCTAGATGACAGTTTCAAAAGAAAAAAGTTGTCTAGATGACCACGCGGCGCCGTGTCGGTGAGCGGCGACACGCTTTCTTCTTTCCAGAAGGAAAAAAAAAGCACATCCACGAGACGTTTTGAACCGGAACCCCTGCCCCCCACCCCACCCCACCGGGCCGGACCCGACTGGTGGGCCCACCCCCCACCGCTTTTGACCCGAACCCATTCCGTTCGTCCCTTTCTATCTATCCCCCACCCCACCCCACCCCCCTCGTACAGCACCGCATTCGCATCGGGGGCTGCACCCTCTCCCA